TAAATTGTAATTTACATTATAGTGGGGTTTGTTTACCCATCAATTTGTATTTAGTATTGAATTTTTAAGTTATCTAACTAGTTAGTTTTTATTAAAATATTAATGTTAGAGTAAATGATACTTGTACGTATAGAAAATTTTCAAAATATGATTAATCTTTATATTTTATATTGTAATTTTCTTTTAATTTGACTTTACTTGTACTCTGAATACTAAACTTTGTTATTTATTAAAATTAATTTGAATTTGTATTTACCGTCAAAAACTTACTAACTTATTAATATTAATATTACATAATTACATTCATTTTTTAAATAAATTAAATGCAAGTGTATATTTTTAAATTTTGATTAAAAATCGCATTTTTATCGTAAGATTAAATAAATTTTATTTTAATTGAGACTTAAAATAATTTCATTATTTAACTTTATCACATAATGATTTTAGATAATGATTTACCAGGTAATGATTTTAGAAAGCATTTTCATATACTATACAGCATTAGGTTTATTTTTTTACATGCAATATCAAATAAAATGTAGTTTTAATTTTAATTATAAGGTTTACACTTACACAGGAACTAAGAATTTTGAAAAAAGTAAATAATTGAATGTAAACTTTACAACTTTATACATATCAAGTAAACATTGTAGTTTCTAATCATTTACCTAGAGTCATGATTAGACAATACAAGTTAAAGGTTAAATCAAAATAAAACTTACCTTTAATGATATATACTTTAATAATAAGAAATGTACTTAAAGTTATAGTTTGTGAGCACGACTAACTTTCAAACACATCTAATCATTTGTTTTTAAATTTTAATTTACATTTCATTTATATCAAATGGAAAGCCTATCGGGAATACTGTTGGACAAACTCTTACATAAGAAATTGTTAACCGATGGTGACATTCACACAATCCTTGATGTTTTCAGTCATCGATTTGATCTCATCGAAAATGACTACAAAATACGGGACACACCGGTCGGGGCTGAGGCAGTGGCCATACAATCAAACATTCAACGCAAACAAAAGTCCAAAAAGAAAAAGTCAAAGAAAAAGTCAAAAACTAATAAATTGGTCCCAAATTCAAGTGCTATCCAACCGAAACACATGTGTGAATGCGGTAAAGGTTTTCCTCATAAGTCTCAGCTACTGGTCCACCGAAATGGTGTTCACCTAAACCTCCGGTCCTATCACTGCCAGTACGAGGGCTGCGAAATGTCCTTTAAATATGCATCACATTTAAGCCAACACTTGAATGGTGTCCATTTGAATATAAGATACCGGTGCGATGAATGCGACCGTAAATACACCACAAAATATCAGCTTAAAGTTCACCGCAAGAAATGTCACATAAAATAGGTTTCATTAATGAATGTCTCAATGAATCACAAATGAAATTAATTTTCACACCAAATCGTATCACATGTTTTTATTTATATTGTTTTTTAAATTCAATCCTGTCAATCATCTAAATATTTGTATAATTTTATTTTTTATATTTCTCATAATTTTCATATTTTATAAATAGTCTATTGATACTCATGGTGAATTATTTTTTAAAATTTTAATATGTTATAAATAGGTCTTTGCATTACATAATAAATTCAATATATATTGATAGTTCATATATTTGTATAATTATTTCATTTGATTTTATTTCATTATTAAATGGTATAGTAATTTTGAATAACGAATAATTTATCCAATTTTGAGCCAGCATAAATAAACATTTGATAAAAGTAACCTTTTAATCATTTAAAAATCAACTTTCATTTCTTTACTTCTAATCTATTTCTTAAAATCATATATTTTTACTAAATGTTGAATCCTTTCATTTTGAAACAAAAAAAACAAATATTTTGAGATAAGAAATGTACTTTCATTTACGGTATAGTTTTTGGGTAATGTGAACATAACTATAAATACATCAAATCATCTGTTTTTAATAATTTTAATTCATAATTATGTTTAACTTTTAATATATTTTATCACAAATGGAAACTAAATCTAAAATATTGTTATCTAAACTCGTATATAAAAAACTATTAACCAAATCCGAGATTCACACGATTATTGACCAGTTATCAGATAAATACCAGACACCACACCCTAAACCAATTGGTGGCCAAACATTGAAAGGGTAAACGCAAATATAAACCAAAAGTCAAAACCTTAAAAACTAAACAAAAGTCATCTAAATTGGTGTCAAAATGAATTTGTATAAAACCGAAACACATGTGTAAATGCGGTAAACGTTTTAAATTGAAATACCTATTAAACCAACACCGGAATGAAGTTCACCTAAACCTCCGGCCCTATCACTGTCAGTACGAGGACTGCCACAAGTGGTCAAACAATCATCACATAATTATGATATCTCCCTAATCATGATATAAGTTACTGTATATTTTTAATTTTTGTTTTAACTTAAATCAATAATCTGTTAACGACATTAAATTAATATTTGTACATTTTAATTTCCTAAACTTATATTTGTTTTCTTATTTATTTCATTATTATAAATAATTTCTTAATTCAAGTTGTATGTTTAATATTTGCTAATATATGGATCAATTAATTTCATTATCTTAATCATGACATTAAACTTATTTTAATTTTTTAAATCTTTTTAATTAATGTGTATTTTAAATTTATCTTATTGACAATACTTTATGTGCTATTTACCGTAATTTTTAATAATTTTTCATGAATTATCTCATAAATAGTTGTTTGTATCTTTTTTATAAATTATTTAAATGTTTAAATGTGTAGATTTAGTATCCTATGAACATAAATAAATACTTTGTAATAAATAATACGGTATATTAAATATTTTTAAAAATTAGTAATAATAATTTTAATATTTTAATAAATTTTAATTTCATTATTATTTGATAAAATATGATGTAATAAATTGACAATTGATAAGGATTAGTGACAAATACCCACAAAAGGGTTTAGTTTCCTTATATTTGACTCGCAGTCAATTTATTCATTACCATAATTGGTCTGTATATATATTAGTATATAAAATCAATCTATTATATAATTAAATTAAATTATTATTTTTTCAATAACTAGCAATGTCACTTTACGGAAAAGTTCTGTTAATTATATTGATAATTAATCTCACTTATAGTCCAGTTTTTACACATTTTCTAAATCCACCAAAGACCCTTGGTGACAGAAAATATGTACACAATTCCGTTCAAGGTAATATATATTTTCAAATTTCAATTAATATTTTACACTAATTTTATTATTAGCAAAAATGAAGCCAGTTTTGTCATTTATAAACAATCACCGGGATGAGTCAGCTCGAGATTACGCCAAAAAGCTTATTGGAAAAGATCTGGCTGATTCGCCTAATGGACCTGGATAATTGTTTTGAAATTAATAACTTTATTTCCATTATTTTAAAATAATTTATTAAAACCACAACATTTGAATAATGTACAAATAAAGTTAGAATAGTTGATTTAAATAACAGATTCATAATTATGATAAATATAATACTTTTGTAATAAATGACAACAAGAATTAATTAATAAACAAATTATTTAGATATTAATTATTATTTAGTGCTAATTTAAAAGTAAAATCAAATACTATTGCATTTGTTGGCAAACAATTGCTGTAAACGTAAGTTATTACTAAATTCATTGTAATCGAGAATGTAATTCATATCAAACGAGTGAAACTTAGAAAATAATGGATTCACTGTATTCGCCACTTCTATGTTAGGACACGTTTCTAAAGTCTTAAATAAAATAAATACAAATTATAACAAATAAATCATATTTATAATTATTATTATAATTATATCAACCTGTTGGTATAAATCCAAAGCATTTCCAAAACAATTCAAACACTTTTTTCGTGTCCAATCACTGAATTCATTGGCAATCATATGATTTGCCACTAAATTCCAGCCATTAATACCGCAAACCTTAACATTAAACCGATGTCTGTTGAGCAGGTCCAGCTTGAATAGTTATCGGCCGAGGTGTAGCGTGACCATAAACTACCGTTACATACTCTGTAACAACTCTCAGCAACACATACAGAACATGCCGTTTATGCCACTTGTCGATAAACATGACATTAAGAGTATTAAGTCAATGTTTAAGTAGTTTATGGGTTGAGACGCCTTAGGAGGTATAAATGGGATAATATTGGGAACCCTGACACTATTCAAATTGAACATCAATTCCTTAGATTTGTTAATATATTCGTTGCATTTATTTGTTACTCGACTTTGGCTTTCATTAGATCTCAATTCAAATGATTGTCTCAAATCATATAATTCTGACAATTGGTTTGCATTTCGCATGAAATTTGGTTCAAATGAATGCATTGTATTGAAGAGTGGGTTCACTGTTGAGGCGGTCTTTATGTCTGGACATCGGATGAGACACTAAAACACAATTTTGAAATTATTTATAATATCCACTCAATTATTATTCAAAATTACAAACCTTTTGATACAAATCGAGTGCATTACTCAAGAAATTAAGACATTTATTAGGATTACAATCACTAAATCCATTGCATTTAATCCTTTTGATGGCGTTATCCCAGAGTTTATAGTTATCTGTTTTGTTGTCTTTAGTATAATGTCTTAACTCCTGTACCAATATCTCGACGGCTCTGTGTTCTTCGCACCTGTACTTCATTGCAATGACCCACTCGTGACCAACATATGCCGTGAGTGTCACATAAGACAGATATGGGGAACTGGATGTGGTCTGAAAATCGTCCGTCAACTCAATATTCAAATAGTTTATAGGCATCGATGGGTGACTGCCGGCCCTATTTAGCGCCGGTATGTCCTGACACGTCGACTGTCCCCCACTGCTGACAGAACTGATAGTATAGTTAGTGACGGATTCGTCATCGATGGCCGAGTCATGCAATTCTTGTGTCAAATGTTGAGATTCTTGTGACAAATAGCTATCATTGAAGTGTGGACTCAAGAGTTTTGCATCAGATTTCGTTAAAATCGTATCGACGCTACAGTTGCCGTCATTTTCTGTTAAATATTTATTGATTTAATAATTAATTTCAATTTTATATGATTTATATTTCATTATTTATTAAAGTAATATACCATTAAATTCATTAATGTTTTTGTGTCGGATCCTAATTCGCGATAAATTTCTAATAAATACTGAATCACTCGTTATAACACAGTATTCGTTAAAATCCGAGTTAAATAACTGTGAAATTAGGTAATTGTTTTAAATGCAAATAAATTGTTTTTTATTTACGCAAAATTCAAACACTTAATACAAACCTCAAACAAATAGCTCTCAATAGGTATACTCAGTTTAGTTTGTTTTATGAATTCATAATATAATTCAGTTAACGTGGTATAATTTAACATAGTATTAACTGTAACACAATAATTTTCATAGTAATTATAGTTTACTAAAATAGTTAGTTTTTTAAGAATTTTAAACATGTTTAATAAAATAAACTACAGTAGTAACAAATGAATGAAATATTATAACTAAAATACTTTAACTAATACCCATTAATGTTAACTCGTTTTCATTATTTATTTTAAAGTTGATTATCAAATGTTAAGATCACTGACAACTAAATAACTAATGTATTAACTTTTTATTTATTTGATAGACAATAAAGTTTAAAACTTTGAATATTAAATACAATGTTTGTTTCAACCACATAAAATTCATAAATTTTATTTACATTTCTAATGCTTAAACAATACAAGTTTAAGATTTATGGAAAGTTTTGAAAAAAAGTTTAGTTTATGTTTCAGATCTGTTAAATCAACTTTTATTGTGATTTTTAAGAATTATATTTTATTATAGAATATTTTAAAATTTGTTAATCACACTTGTAAAAATATTTTTAGATAAAATATTAAATATATTAATATACAAAAAATAAAAGTCAAGCTTTTTGTACCCAAAAAAATACCAGAAATAATCAATTCAGATAATACATAAAATCTTTAATATGTGAAGATCTTTGTACTTAAATCATAATAAAATACTTACTGTATGTACTATGTACAATGTACATTGAGAACTAAAAGTTTAAATAAATATAAAATATACAAATAATTTATATTTAAATTAATTAAATAAAAGTAATTAATGTCGCCTAGTTATCCATACATTATTCCATAAATTGTATAAAAAATATTATTTTATAAAATTATTGCAATAGTATTAATTACCAAACAATTAAATTAATAATGTCGGCTAAACTTGCTAGTCTATACAATGATTGAAATTTTTAATATGAAATTATTGTTATATCATTAACAAGGTTTCAATGGAAATGTGTTTAACACTGAAATTTTCACTTCTTATTAATCAGTCATTTGTAACGTCGAGAGGCACTTGAGTCGAGTGAAAGAGTTTGTCGATTAGGAAAATATAATAAGATATGAAATAGTTTTGATTTTCTTTCAATTAATCATTGTTTTCAGAGACAAACTCCTCATTATTCAAGTTTAGAAACGTTTTACTAATTAATAAACGGGGTAACCAGGTGATTGTTTAAAATAAATTCTCATACAATAGCACCGGACTATTGAATCATAACTTTCGTAATCAAAGTGTTACAGTAAACCAGATGCACTATATTTGACCTAGTACTGTATAATTAAGTGTAATATATAACACATATTACAAATTCTGTATAGTACACTGTATGCACTGTAAGGAATTACATACAAGTCCCAGGGAACTTTATAATAGTTACTTATAGTAACGCAAACCATACATAATTCTAACACTAAAATATTTTCAAATAAAATATCATTAATTAAATTATTTTTCGGAAAAGTGTTTACAATTAAAGCTATTGAGAGCTTACCTGAATGTGTTGAAAGTGAATGCTAATATCTTTTTGAAATATAACCGTTATCATTATTCTTATTTTATTAACATTACTGTTTGCCTATGAAAATAAATGTAGACATTTTAAAGGTGTTAAAGATTAGCTTATTTCTCGATATCTATATAATGTTATGTAATTCTTTTGTAAAGAATAATAGACAGTATAATTTATGTGTATCATATTAGTAAATTATTTATTATGTCAAAAATGTAATAATATTGCATTATCCGGAAATAGGTGAAATGCAAAAAACACACAAACAACTTATTCATTAGTTATAAATTTTATTAATAATAGTAAATATATAAATTTGTTAAAATAAAATAAAAATATAATTATATATAAATTTGTCATAAATTCACGTCTCATTACAAACATACGGAATTATTACTACAGGTTTAATAACATCACTATTATCAGTAAAGTACCATAATCACTAGGTAAACACAGTGCAATATTTATTTGTTTAACGTATTTTATAATCATTAATAATATATTCCTGTCATAAGATCCTGTTTGAAATGTTTAGTGGGTTTTTGGCGAACCCTTTGACAAAAATATTTATTACATTTGTTATAAATAAAGTTATTCTAATTATATTAATTTATGATGGCCATATAAATTGTAACATATATTTTAATCAAGAATATAATTCAAATAATAATAACTCCATATTCTCTACTCAAGAATTTAAAACAAGAATTGCATAATAAGTTACACATGAGGACTTTGGAAAGACATTCAATGGGAGGCATTTGATAAAACGTGTCACTGATAACACCACCGGTGATATTATTAATGAATGAGGCAATTGCCAATTAGTCACCATGCCATAAACGTGAGCATAATTAAACAAACTGGATACAAACCAAACACGTTTGCTTACAATTTAATAAACATGGTATTTAATTATTATAATAAAATTTTTTTAATTTTAATAAAACCTAAAGAATATTCTATATATCATATACTTAATTGTGAACAAATAGTAAATGTAACCTTGGAAAGTTTATATGAATAACTTTAAAATTTTAGCACAAAATAAGCAAATATTGGCCAATATTTCTCTACACATTGCCAAAATCTACAGAATTTTAATATAGAATTTAAAATAGGCAAAAAATATTAAATATGAATTTATGAAATACTAAAAAATTGTCTAAAATCTTATGATTTCTATATTTATTTATTTATTTATGGAAATATATACCGTTTATATAACTTATTTTTAAAATATAGTGTCTGTTAACAAATATCTTATTTTTAGTCAATAGTTGGAAATTCATGAAATTAAAGTAGTAAAATATATTTAATTTATATTATGTTTAGCATTGCGAAAACAAACGAAACTTTGCATATAATATTATAATTTTAATAACGTATTAGAAATTTATTATGCAATAAATAATATGAATATAATATTAAGTGTAAATATGGGAAAGTAATAAGTAATTCATAAATAATTAAATACTCGGAATGAATGAAATGATCAGCGATTACTTGGGCACACATTCCGACACTGATATCCCTTTTCACATCTTGTGTGCAATAAGCCTTACAATCAGATACTGTTCAG